TTTCCCCATCCTCTCTCTACCAGCAAACCCTGAAAATATATGCCTGCCCAAAATGCACTAATATTTACATGATTTTTACTGGCTACAATACACTTTTCTACTGTAATATATAGTTCCATCTTACCTTCTTGCATAGTGGTCCATCCACATTTGTGCTCAGAATGAACACTACTTTGTAACCACCAGAAAAGTGACTTCAATCCCAGGGACTACAGTGTGGCTTGTGGAAAGTCAAACCCAAAACATTGACTGGGAATGTCTTTCCTTGAACAAAGAAATCCTATTCTGTTTCCAAGGGGAATGAAAGGACGAGCCTAACCCTGGTAACCTTAACACAAAAGGGAGCTAAAAAGGCAGGGGCTCGATGAGAACAAAGGATTGTTCTTTCCGATGACATCAATATGTATTAAACACGATGTGCTACACATCCTTCTATCAATATCTGAGATGATGAATCTGCAAATTAATACTACATCAGCCATAACTGCACAACATTACAATAGCACCCTCTTTAGAAGGGATTTTGATTTATATAATGGTAGTCACTTGTGTGTGTTTAGTGTTTCTGAAATTAAAGGAGGAGATGAGCCACTGTGAGTGAGCAGAACACAACGTGCGAGAACTAATTACACTCGTGACCTCAAGCCCTAGAAGGTCACTCTGCATCACAGGCCAAAGGAAATCAGGACCCATCAGCATGTGCCTCAGAGCAGCACTGCCGGGAAGGAAGGGCAAGTGGGGTGTATTTTATAAACTAGCGGGTGCTTGACCTTATAAAAAAGTCAATGATCAAAATGCTGCTTGTACGGTGTCACAAATAAGAAATACATAAATAGGATTATGCAAAATATCTACATTGCAAAATAAATCTGAGAGGCATAAAATGTTTTACGTTCCTCTGAATTATAATACCATAGCATAAAACAGCACTAATCCTTCCTTATTAAGAATAATTCATAAAATTTTTAAGTGTTTTAATAATATAAAAGTGATTACAAATGCATGCTGAACAGTGATAACTTGGAAAACATTCGCAACATTTATAAGTCACTTGACAAGAATGTATGCACTGTTTATCATTGCAGTCCTGTTACTGTTAGAGCAAGGATCACAGATGCACATCCTCCAACTTTCCATCAGAAATCAGGCACTGAAAGCATACATACTGATGGCATTTATAAGGGACAGAATTTTCCTAGCAGGTTCAAGGACAGGGCTCCACTCCCTGGAACAAAATTCTTGATATCACTCGATTAGGAGTTGGTTTCTGTGAAAATCTGTGAACTGGCTTTCCAGTCAAGACGCATGATTGCCCCTGTCCTCCCCGGTGATTCGGGTCCACTTCCAGAGTCCCTGGGTGCAGGAAAGTAAGGTTAATTCTGGGGCAGTGAGAATAAGGAGGACGGAGCGGTAAGATCCGGTACAGGAAGGAAAGGGGACGGGCAGCCACTGCTCACTACGTGTGCCGTGCACTGTGCTGGGTGCTGTACCAGGCAGGCTTCTCCCTCGACTGCTTTCCTCACGTCCTCAGACAAACCCACAAAAGGCTCTCATCACGGAATGTGCCTAAAATTCCAGAAGACCCCAGTCACTCCGACCAGTCGACTCATCTTAGGCCCAGTGCAGCCACTTACTTACTGACTGTGAAGTCAGGGAAAGCTGCCGCCCACTTTGAACCTCAGGCTCCTCATCTCTAAGGAGAAGGGCTACTGCAGTCCATCAGCCCAGCGCGACGTTCTGTTCTTTGGGCAGGTGCATTTTCTGCATTTCAAATAACTAACAAAGGGACTCTTGGATCAAGCTCGGCTCTAAGGGAGGAGCTGCCAGTGCTGCCTAGGCAGTTACTGAGTATGTTTAAGGGCTTAGGACGACTGAATTATAAGAAAATACCTGATGAGTTGGTGTATTTATCAGATACGTTGCTTAGTATTTTCCCTACTTGAGGGATTAAGAAAATTCCTACACTAGAATGAAGGGTTAAGTTTCTAGAAGATTGCTTCCTGCTACAACTCACTATCGTCATCCTCTCCTCCACTGTCAATGCCAAAGGCAGAAGCCACGTCATGACAAGCACGCTGACGGTGGGCATGGGCGGTCCGCCAGCTGGCTCCGCGACCTCTCGATCCCTTGGGCCAGTGCATCTGGTCCACAGCCTGTGTGGTCATTCCTCGGCGCTGTGCGCTCTGCTCCTCGCTCCCCTTCACAGGCCCCACCCCTTCAGCCCGACATCCTTGAGTTAAAATAGAGAACTCCCAGCAAAGCTGGTTAAAACTAATTTTGCACTCAGTCACTGCAGAAGTCCCAGAATAGATTAATATATTATAGCAAGAGCTGTTAGTGTGGGATGTTTTAGTTTCATGTAGAATGTATTAATTCTTTTGCTAACGAATACAATTACAGTAAATGATAACATTAAAATTTTTCGTAAGTCAGCATTCAGTTCATTAATAAAGTATTCCGGATACTGTGCCAAGGACTTTGATTTACATTAATGGAAATGTTTAGATTTGACCAAGAACTACCTAGTTTATGCTTATTTAAACAATGATGAGAACCATTAAGGGTAATTTTTTAGTTATTTTTCTGCTCCATTTTGCTGTTGTTAAATTTAATATGGCTGAGAATGAAACTGAAAGCAGGATTAGTTAAGCCAAACATCTACGCATTCCTCCGCCCCCCACTCCCTTTAAAACCCAAGGATGCTGGAGGAAGCGAGACAGAATCAACAGTGGTGAGATGGTGAGTTCTGCAGTCTGCCAGTCACCTAGTGACGGAGGGACCATCAGTAAATGCTTTACTCTCTCTTGGCCTCACTGAACTCATCTGGGCGCAAGAAATGAGGGTGGTGGTGTGGACAGCGCCTCCTTAAGAGGTTTATGGCCACAGTTTGATGACGTGAGACTGACCAGGTACTTAGCAAAAGCCTGACAGAGAAAATGTTCAATTCATGGTAGGTAATGTCACTGCATCCCTCGTCCTGTGTCCTCTGGACCCTCTCACAGGCATCTCGCCTGTCACGTCTGTTGCTGCCTCAGGGAGTCGTCTGTGACCACCGCTCCATGCCTTCACACTGCACCGAACTCATTCTCATCTTTCCGAGGACAAAAACACACGTGGGGCCGGGTCCTCCGTTTCCTTCCGTAACAGCCTCCCAGCTACTTAGTCCACTTCAACCCATTCTCCTGCTCTACGCGAGTCCATTCCTAATAAAGCTGTCTTTACAACGGGTCTCAATGTTTCCACAACCGTGTTCTCATTGTAAGAGAACCCCTGGTGACTTTCTACACAGTTTCACATTCAGTCTACTCTACAGTTTGTCCTTCAGTTGGGGGATCCTTTGATCAATAAGGCTTATGATTAGCTGATGAGATAATTCTATTTTCCAGAAGATCACACGGTTAACACCACAAGTCGCCGAACACAGAGCACCGTACCAGGCTATGCGAAGGTGCAAGATTCCCATAGAGGGAATGTGAAGAGAGCTTTTTTCAGCCCACGTTATTTTTTTGAACATTTTTTTTAATATTTGACAAGATTTTAAACCTACTAATATTTATACAAGAGCTTTAAACCTGAGAATTTACGTAGATAAAGTCTATGTCTAAAAACCCTGGGTTTTAAATTTCCTTTTATTAAAATGGAAAAACTCCCTGTAAGCAAATAAACAATACTCTCTCAGTAAACAGTCTTACCTAGACAGATTAAAGAATTTTAACTGAAGTTTTCAATCTGTGATGTTTTGGTTACACGTGCAATATATATTTGCATGTAAAGATGATGCATATACTTATTGAACAAATACCTAGTGTTTGCCATGGCCCACGCACGGTTCCATGTGCTTTCTGGGACTCAGCAGAACCTATACAGTCTCACTCCCTTCACTTCATCGGTGACACAACGGAGGCTGAGAAAGGCTCAGTGTCCATGGTCACACATCTAATGAGACAACCACCGCGGTCAGCACTGGCAAATACCTGGTAGAGTTATGCCAGTTGTAACAACTGTGATCCTGTTTGATTCTGGCTTCCATTTCCTTCTTGTACAGTCCTCTGTTGCCTCTCTGGGCACGTGTAATGCGTATTTCATTGACAAGAATAATTGGTATTGGCAAAGGTCATTTAAAATGAATGAATTAAAAAGGTCATTTAGAAAAGGTCAAAACCCAGGCCAAATTTCCACAGCAAAAAGTTTTTGTAAAGTTTCCTTAAGACTTCATCTTAAAGAAAGAGTAAAACATTTATTTTCTCTTATACTCCTAACAGATGAAAATGTTAATTCTGGATTCTTCTTCAGGAAAATAAAGAATGAATCAAATGTTGAACTGGGATGAAGCATACTTTTTTCAAAAAAAGAAAAATTTATGATAGCACAAATATAACTTTTCTTCAGTGCACACTTGACCTAGGAGCATGATCACAAAGGTTTTTATTTTGCAAAAATACTAAAAAATTTCAACAATTTTTTTCCCTAGCCCTTTCCCAATGCCTTCAAATCATCCTTGTTTGAAAAATTTCATTCGTCAAACCCTCACTAATTTTCTCGTTGTCAACAGTACGCTAGTCTAACTCTACCAGGTCTTTATTTCTGAAGGATCCACAATTCCAACTTCACCTTGGACAGCTCGTGCCTTGTACCCGCTGCTACACGGCACCAGATGAGTCTAACAAGCAGGCACCCGTGAGCACAGTAAGGCACTGGGCAGAGACAGACACTACTGCTAAACAGGGTGGGGCTTGATTTGGGGATTAATTTTATAAGGGGTCAACCCATTAGTGACTATCTTGATATTTATATAACTTTTGCCTTTATTTTTTTTTTCCCTAAGCAAACTCCAAACCAAAGGGATTTCAGGAAGTGAATGCGCAGAATCTGCGGGTCCTTGTTTGCACCGAAGGTAAACGACTCACTGTGGATGACAGGCAGTAGCAAGCACACTCGCGAATTTTGGCTCTTTTCTAACGAGCACGGAAAGCTGTGCAGAAAACCACAAGAGCTCTTACGTGACATGACGTGGTCCATGTACTGGGGCAAGTACGGGGCCCAGGCGTCGATGGCCTCCTTCCGCCCGGCCTGCTCGATCCTCCTCAGCTCAGCCAGCAGCAGGGCCTGCGCGGCTTCTCGGACCTGGAGGGACCACAGACCCCAACGTGAAAAGGGCAGGTCCGCTGGGGAGCTGTCTGATAACCCGAACGCTCAGAAGTGAGAGCAATAAACCACATTTATTTACATGACCAAAACTGCCAACCAAACAGTGAGTTAAGACTTAATGGGGAATAAATTGGATGCCCGTAAAAATCAAAGATATTTTAATTACTGATCTCACTGAAAAAAAATTTAACACTGATAGACTGAATTATGTTTGAACATAAAATGCTCTGGGCTTAAAACTTTATTTTCCAAAGCTTTTAAAACATTCTAGCACTTTAATTTTGCACTATCAGGTTTAAATTTTCTATATAAAAGTTAAAAGCCATTGTTAGAACTATTAAATTTGTTCTCTTTAAGCTCAAATAAATTTAACCTTACCTAGTGAAACTTTATAATATACATACTAAATAGGTATTGTTTACACAAACATACATGTATAAATCCACACACTCATGTATATCTAAGGCACGCTTAAACAGTTTGTTTTCAACAAATAGGCAAATACATTCCTATATAATGGCATCAGTTCTATCGAAGGACACTAGTTTTCAAAAATTGTATTTTCTGATTTTTTTCTTCCTTTTCTTTCTTAACAACTTTTATTTTGCAGTTTTAGTTTAGTTCTGTTTTATTTTGGTAAAAGTGCCACAGGAACAGGGTTAAAGAAGCTTAATCAATTGTTACGTGATGTATCAGTCAATTACTATTTATAACTGAAAAGATAACTCAGCAGCATCTGATAAAGTTTGAATGAAAATTGTTTTAAATTATAACTGACTTATGAAGTAATTTCAAATATTATCCCATGTAAAACCAAGCATGCTGCAATTTCCCAGGGAAGGAAGACAAGGAAAGTAGCAAATATGTTCATTATATTTGGTAAACTAAAAACTCTGAATGATATAAACTGCTACAGCTCTATAGGTCAAATGCCATAATAAGGGAAATCTCTATAAAATGTTTCCAAGTCCCTGGTGATATTTTATTCCAAGCGGTACCTAATGCAGCGTAAGCCCATTAACACAGAACAATAGCTCTCATTTACTGAGCTCCTCCAGAGTGTCAGACTCGGCACTAACCGCTGGACTTGTGTTACCTTATTCAACCCTGACTGCAATCCCCGGGAGGAATATATTATTATCCCCACTTTACAAATGAGCTTCAAATAGGTTAGGTAAATTGCCCAGGGTCACAAAGTTAATAATTGGCAGAACTGATATTTAAATCCAGGTCTCTCCCATTCCAAAGACCTTCTCCTTTTATTGTAACGCAGTCCCTTCAACTGGACTGGGAATACTCACTGAGAATCTGATTGGTGGGATGACACCTGAGTGTGCGATTCTGGGGAAGGTGGGTGCATGCATGTATGTGAATACATGTGTACGACAGTAACAGACAGCTCCGTAAAGTATGTGAAACTTTTTATCAAATACTCACCGGCTGAAAATAAATCAAATAAGTAAATAAATAAATAAATAAATAAATAAATAAAATAAGCAAGCAAACAGAAACACTGTTTAGTATATAAACTGAAAAAAAAAACATGAATCCGTATTTTCTACCACTAAATAAACAGGTGATAAAAAATTAAACATTAGCCATTTTGGTGTCACATTTACACTTGTCCAGTGCCTTTCCAATGCTTTTGTTTCCTCCCCGCCTCACCCCAACATTACCTCCAGGCACCGGTCCTGCCACCTCCGAGCGAGCATCTCCAGAAGCGGGGGACGGAACTTGTCCAGCCCCAGCAGGTCCGGCAGCATGACGCAGTGCATGGCGGCCAGCTGGCTCCACCCTTGAAAATGCAAGAGATTAAAAATACTTTCAACATTCCACCATTTCCTGATGCAAAATTTTTTCTTTATGTAAGTATACCAGAAACATTAAAAAAAGGCATGTCTGCTAAACTGTTATAAATTATTTCAATTTATTAGCAAATTTTTTTTGGTGCATAATTTTATATCAAATGTATTTCATCTCTAAATCATGTAAGTGGTACTTATAAGAACTCTCAAAGTCTTAAAGCAAATAGAAACAGATTTCTGCATGAAGTATATGCAAACTCTACACGGAAAAGACATCTCTGAATAGTCCTTCTAGAATAAAACATATATTCGGAGGTGGGGAAGCACAGACTTGAAACCACTCTCAGTGAAAAGGGCATTTCGCACAGAGAGCCCGAGACAGGGTCACGGCCATCTGAAGGCCTGGCCATCTGTGCCTGACCACTGGGCCAGTCCTCAGAGATGAGTCCCTTCCCTGTCAGAGGGCCTTTCGTGAAGGTACTTACTGATCCCTTTTCTTAGAAAGCAAATCAGATATTTCATCACAATCATAGTGCTAACAGAGCACTCATTCTGAGAGGAAAATGAATTCAGACATTCCACAAAATAAAAATCTTACCATCCAAAATTTACAAACTCCTAAGTATCACGAACTCTAATCTACGGAAATAAAAGTTATTTTTTTCAAAATTCTAACCCACAGTATGGAATCTGATTACATGAGAAAATGAACACTGTAAACCACAATATTTAAAAGTACTAGTATCCAGACATTCTCAAATAATCATGTCAACCCTATTTTAAAGGTGTCTGAAAAACATACATACAATAAATGCCTCGGTCTTCCTAAATTACACATAAAGCCACTATAAATCCGTAATAGTTACCATTATCTCCTGGAGAAACATTTAAAGACAAATAAGAATAAATGGGGCAGGGGAGAGCTTGTCTACTACCATATCACAAGGAGAGTTATCTGGGATCATAGAATTTCGGCAAAACAACGTTTTAAAATAACCTAAACTGTAGTCTTCTGAGACAACAACAAAAAACCCACCTTGAAATGATTATTAATGATTAAAGCAAGTGAGTGGGAGACCAGACCCCCATCTCGAGATTCATCCTTTTAGAAAGGAAACTTTCTTCAACTGAGATGCAGAATTACATTAAGTAAGGTGATGAGTATGTGCTTTTTAGATTATAATTTATTTTCAACAGAGGGCTATATATACGTACATACATAAATACATGCATATAAATATAAATTACCACACAGTAATTTCTTAAAGTGCTTTACTGTCTCATAAAAATATGAAGTGGACTTATGAGCTAAATTTTTTTTAATGGGCTGAAGTTTACTGTGATGATTCTCACCATTCTCCAAAGTTAATGGCTGATTTTTGAATTAAAATATTCCTATCTTTCATAATAGCTTCACAAAGATAACCCTAATTATTTTTGCTAGTGCAGTCTTAACATATTAACCTTAATACAGGTCTCTGACGGGGAAACCAAACAAAAAAGTGAGTTACGTTTTTAAGAGCTCACGTCTTCTTTCCCCAGGAGTTCTACTCAGAACGTGGGCTCTGCACTTCACAAACACTGCACCACTCCTTCCATTTGGACGGACTAGAAACGCTGCTTATTAGTGAAGAGTCAGACTCACCCTGGCTGACCTTTGAGATTTTATCAATTCCCTGCACTTGATATTACTCAAACTGGTGAAGACTGAGCCCACGACGAAGAGCGTGGATACAACCAAGAGCTCCTAAGTTCCATTACGCTGCCAGGCAGTATAAGCAACCGTAGAAGGCCGCAGGGGTAAAAGGTTTGTGGATTCCATTCACATTATCAGAAGTCCAAGACACTTCCCACTAGTGTAACTCCCCAGGGATAATATGATAGCCTAGCTACATCTTAAAAACTAAAATGACTGATGGTTGCTGCTGCGGCCAGAAAGAGAAGTAGCAAGTAGGATAAGACAGGTGAGTTCCTATCAGTCTACACAGTCCCTGGTGCTAAGCATCCTTCTGAAGACTTTGCACATGAGAACGTGAATTGAGAGACTGTCGTATCTCCCTCCAACCAGGGCACGTGGTGTGTAAAGAGAGCAAACTGCATCTCTCCAGGGTGACGATACACAGAAAATAAACTGGCGGCTGTAACGCCAGAGATGACATGGTAAACGTCACCGTGAAAACCAGCGCCTCTCTCGCGCCTGCTTCACGCCCAGATCAGCGTCCTGCACTCCTTTCGCAGCGTTCTGGACCACAGGGCACGGGTTCGCTCCACCAGTGGGAGCGCCCCAGTGTCACGCCTGGCCCTCATCACTGACGTTAGCAAGCCAAATCAGTACATGGAATTTCACCGTCTCATACGTAACAGAGCAGGTAAACGTGTAGATTAGGTAAAAAAAAAAAAAAAGAACACGTCAAATTAGGATAAAGTACAGACTGGGAGAAAGTTGTTAGGAAGTTAAGAGAGAATACCTTCATTTACTAAGAAACAGGTATGGAAAGCAGGAGTAGAGGCGGGGCCAGAGCCAGAGTGGTCGGCGTCAGCCCGAGCAGAAGTGACAGGTGCAGGCACTTGCAGAGGAAAAGAGGAGAAACGAGAGAGAGAGGATTGAGGTGCAGCAGTTTCTGGAAAAAAGCTCAGAATTAGTGAAGAATGAAAAACAGAGTTGGCAAAATACAGTAAATGTGGAACTGAAAAATGGTGTTTTAATCAGACGGCATGACCATTAAGGGTTACAGCAAGGAAATGATATATTTTATTGAATGGCAATCACGGTGTAGCTTAAATTCCTCTTAAAACCAAAATCTATTTAATGTTACAGTCGAATGATGTATCAATTAAAAAAAAAAACAATTCTAAAAGAACTGAGGCTACAACGAAAAAAATGTCAACATATTAAAAATCAGCAAAAATGGAACTCAATTTTTAAAATGTATCACACAATGAAAAGTTTATGTTGGTCTTCATGTCAATTACACTTTTGCTAATAATTTTCTAACATTATGTATAAATTATTTTTAACCTCTCAAACCAACATCCACTGAGATCATTTCAATTTTCCACACTCAATTTATAGAAAGTCAATTTTAAAAAACCAACTTATAAAGAACATACATACTATACTTAACCTTTGCTAGGAGAATCCTAATGTAGCTTCATTCTTTGAAGTTAAAAAAATATTTTTACGAGACAAAAGCCATATATTCTAAGAGTGATTATTGTAAAATAGGTGCACGCCCCTCCAAAAAAAAAAAGTTATGTTACCAGGAAAATGTTTCAGCTGTAATTATCATATGAAAAGGCAAAAGGACCTTATGGCACACACGTTCTACAACTGGAGGTCAATGTTAAGATTTAGAGGTCACCATTTGACACTTCCTTCCTACGGAGAAATTACCATATGTCATGCACAAGCATCTTCAAATTAATCCCTCTCCTTTCTTCTGTCATTGAACAGCAATAGGTTTGGGCTCCTGAACAGATTAAGCATTGTCTGCTGAACGATATGTTTGCTTTTCGTGCAGTGAAGTTCTTTTGTAAATGCAGGCAGCTGCATGAAAACAACTTTTCATAATTTCCACACGAACGCATCATAATGTGCGTGAGGCACGTGCACGGTAAACAGCAGAACTAAAAGAAGTACATGAACAGTAAGAAAGAGATAGAAATTCCAACTCCATAAACTCTAAGAAGCATTTCTTGCACGCATAAAAGTTTTATATGGGAAATTATTTTTTATTGTAACAGACCTGTTTTTTGACCCTTCTAAAATTATAATTATTTAATAACATTGTACTTATAAAAGACAGCTGCTTTTAATTGTGTATTTCCTAATATCTAATTATTGCATTATAATCTTGCAAAGAAATCTAAAATATTTCTATATTCCATTGAATAATTTTATTTTCCATTTTTAAAATCATTTTAATTATAAATTAAGTTATTACAACCTATAAAATAGTCACTTCCTCATGAAAAAAGTTGGTGAGCCTTGGTGGCAAGGAGTAAATTTTCAGGTTTTAGCTATCATGCCACCAAAATTGTTGAGAAAGTTCCTCTGGTGGTTTCCAACAGCTGGGACATTTCTGTAATTTCACTTTTTTAAAAAAGGGAGAAATTATTATCCCAGAAGAGATTATTAACTTTATCTAATTTTATCCTTAATTCTGAAGGGACACTAGATAAGAGGGTAAGGAAATTCAAAATATGTAAATAAAAGTTTAGGGCTAAAGGATCATTACTTTACCCAGGTCACAGAAGTAGTAGGATTAAACCATAATGTTTTCTCCTAGTCGTAAGTCTAAAGGAAACTAGAAATGCTACCCGCAAAGCAGGTAGAATAATGTCTCAATATAATAGTGCTCTAGACAAGTAACTTTATTTCTAATGAAAGAAATAAACAGGTGCTGGGTATTATATTTTTGGAGTCCTGTTTAAATGGCATTGCATACAGAAAAAGCTATTTACACTTTAATAAATTCCCTGGGCACTAAAAGTCAAGGGGAAAACACTATAATAAAAAGTAAAAAATCATATTTACTCTGCTTTAAAAATCTCTACATCACCACCAAAAAATGCTTTATTTAGACTATGTCATAACTGAAACTGCAGAATCCAGAACTACTTCCACAATTAATTGAGATATTGAAATTAAATGCTGCTAGAGCTTTCATAACTAGAGCTTTTAAAATACTTTCCAGATACTTTCCAGAAAAATCGGCAATAGAAATAAAATAAGGAAAAAGCTCCACTTCCAAAATAAAAAGCTCAAGATTTAATGACAAATAATCCAGCGGAGGTTATGTGCAGAGCAGAACATCAGAGACCGACGCCATAAAACACAAGCAAGCATTTGACCTCTCAGCACAGGAAAGCTGCCACATCAACGATCAATTTGCTTCTCTCATTAAGGATTAGTAGTTACCCACCAGGGAGAACTGTTTCAGCGCGGCTTCAATGGTGATAGAAGGTACACAAGTTCTATTATTTTATTCTGGGAAAGTTCTCTTAAGTCAATCGCAGCTATGAGCCTCTTCAACTGCTCTCTCACACATGAAAAATAAAATTAAGCAAACCCGTGTGGCTGCACATACATGCACACGTGTGTGGTTCCCTTTGCATGGCCCGTATGTGTGCACAGTACTCAGTATTACAATTACTTGGTTTTCTGTTTTTGAACAGATCTATTTCAGTCTTCATTTGAACTCTGATTCTAAACCCCACTATTCCCTGCTGCCGTTGTAATATGAAAAATGTATATTGGACAGAAACAACATATTTTAGGTAGTAAGTAGTCTCAACACACTGGTCTAAACTTTATTAGCCTTCTAGTAGTGTACACAAACAACCCTTTTAATTCATTTTTTCAGGAGCAAAAGAAGAAACTCTAGAAAGCACAGAAAAATAAATGCAGCATCTAAAGAAGTAAGTTAATCAAAGCTTAAAACTAACAAGATGAGTAGAACTATTTAACGAGAAGTCCCGTTATCAAGACTGGGACGAAGCAATCACCGAGCTTCGCGAGGGCGGGCTGCGGAGGAGAAGGAGGCAGCCCACACCTGGGGCGCTGTCAGATGCGGAGACCTGAGAGCCGCACCTGACGTCTTGTCACGTTTCTTTATGCTGCACTTTCAAGTCTTAGGAACATGGGCATTCTAGGTATCTTTTAAATCAACATAAAGCATTAGGATGAAAGCATTAATCAAACAGTCTAAGAAAAAAAGGGACCATCTTGAAGCACTGTGGAAGAAGAGCACACACATCCGAGGGCAAGCGGGGAGGACACAGTTCCAGCCAACGGAGAGGATGAGGACCTCCCACAAGGAGAAGGAGCGAACAGCCCCAGACGGCATTCTGACAGACAGACAGACATCAAGGCAAAATATGGACGGGTTGATAATGCCTGAAAAACACAGGAACGCTATATAACAACCTCTAGGTCACCGCTGGATGACATCAGAATTGGAAAAGGTGCAGAAGCCATGACAATTTTATCTTGGCCCATCACTCCAGCCACAGAATATCCTTTGTTACTAGCATCCAAAACAAAGACAGGAGCTAAAACCAATACCCAAGAGCCATGGGGAGAGAAAGATAAAATTATAATGAACACTAACCTGAATTAAACATAGGGAGGCTTTAAAATTTTTCTACTTCACTTAATTAACATTTAATGAGTGCCTACTACGTGTCAGGTATTGGGCTAAGCATAGAAAACCTCACAAAGGTTACGCAAAGATGCTGCCCTCAGGTTCTCAGACTCTGGTAGAAAAGGCAAGTAGGCAATTAAAAATTAAAATAGGATCATAAGCTGCACTCCTCTGGATCTCCCCCACTAGCCAAGAGCTCCTCGATGGCAGAAGTGTCTTTTGTCGGCCCTCACAGCCAAAGCACCTGGTCCTGGCCACACGGACTCTGGAGCCCACAGAGCAGTACCCACAGATTCACTCCTTCGACAAATGTTTGCGGAGCACCTCCTAGGTACCAGCCACTGTTCCGACACAGTAACACTATCTAACCACCTTGAAGTCACCAAGCATTTGCTACAAGTGAGGGAAGACAAATAAATGTCCTTGTCCATTGAGCTTCCAAAGCAGACTTAAACTATAAGCCATTTTTTTAAAAAGAAAAGGCACAGAAGTTCAAAATTTCACGGGGTTCTCGGGCCCATCCACTGGCCTGATGTATGTGCCCCAGGGTTTCTGCTCCAGATCTTACGGCAGAAGGCTGAGAAACTCCTGGGTCATTTACATCAACGACTCTGAAGACAGTTCAACGATGACTGCTGCTTTCTTCTAAGTTTAGGCAACCTAAACTGAATCCACTTCTGAAAAATAAAATTGCAAATAGCACAGCACAGCCTTAAACCTTGACATCGCTTGGACTGGCTTCCGGACCTACCACTGAGCAACAAGGCGACACCGACGCAGATGCGTTCGCGGCGGAGACAAGCAGCAGAGACACAGACCCAAGACCGGCGCCGTGAGGCTGCCGAACTGACCAAGAGAAGTGCGTCATGTCAGAAGGTAAAACGGCCTAAAGCTCTGGGCAGACTTGGGGCTGGTGGACCAAAAACAAACATTTAGTTGTTTGACATCTCTCGCCCAAGGGACATGATTTATAAACTACAAGATCAAGTATCTACTAAATAAAAACCGTCTATACCAAAAAAAGTACACAACTGTCAGTAAATGTTATTATTGGCAAACACTGAATTAATAAACCAACTATTAGACAAAATAAACTCCCTGTGAAGAAATTATTTTCCAATAAAATACCCTGATATTGATTGTGAGAAAGTGTGTTAGCTAAACTATCTATATCTTCTTTATTCTCTGACCCACACGTCTATGAAAGGTCCACTCCCCAGCTCAAGTCTTTACTCCGTATAGATTGTTTTGCAGCAGAACAAGTATTAGCCCACATGTAAGTGACAGCTTATTGAAAAGGAGCACATTCCTGCTCGAAAAACAGACTGTGAGTCCAGGTGCCCTGCCGCGGGAGTCGGGAAGAGCAAACACGAGGAAGACGGACAGGTTCACAAGAAGCCCAGACAAGAAAAGCCGGGGCAGAAGGGGAGATCGTGCAGGCCTCTAACTGCCGAGCTGGGGCCGGAGAACGTGGAGCTCTCGTCTCTGTCTCTCACCACTTCTTACACTAAACTGGTTCTTTTCGTTCATGTACGGTCTACCAGATGTACATAAACTACCCAGGGGAATGTAAACCAGACCCATGTCTCTAACATCCCCAGTTCATGAACTTAACAACACTTTATGAGAGAGATCATTGTGCCGTGTTTCCATCTGATGCTCAAACAGAAAGCGGGAGTCACGATGCCTCCCTACAGTACTTTCCTATGGAACTCAGCAAGTACAGACCTCCGCCCTTCATCTACGCCAGAGGCAAGCGTCTGTGCTGTTCCAAATGGGAATTCCCAACTCCACTGCCCTAAGTAAACGCTTCAGGAAAAACTCAATTCTCGGTGCCTTCTCACTGCTCTCTGAACTCGATGCTCTCTGAAAGAAGCGACACTAATGCATTCCACCGTGAAAATCCTCGGGCCTGACCAGGTGAGCCAATTCGATCCCACACTGGTGGTCAAGGACATGACGCATCGTGGCCGTGTCACAAATTGCACTGGGTCGCTTGTATCGGCTGTGATTTCTACAGAGGGAGAAAGATGTAGTCCAGGAAGAAACACGAACTGTAATGAATGATGGTGAAGATAATGATGAAGACAACAAATAGTATCTCTAACAAGAACGGATTTTAAATGAAGCTTTGAACTAACTAAAGGCAGGGCAGTGTGCTCTGCAACTGACCTGGACAGGATAACCCGAAAGATATTTTCAGTGGATTTACTCTCGAGTTAGAAGGTGCTGGCCGTGTCCTATGCTTTAAACATGCCTCGTGCCTGTGTGAGCCTCTTTCCATTTCTCTCTGAAGTAGTGCTCTAAAAATGTTAAAACTATACGACATAAAGTACACTCACTTTATAAGGTAACAGTATATTCAGGACATTTTAAATGTGAAGAGGGAAGCCCTGGCTGGTGTAGCTCAGTGGTTTGAGCGCGGGCTGCAAACCAAAGTGTCGCAGATTCGATTCCCAGTCAGGGCACATGCCTGGGTTGCAGGCCACAGCCCCCAGCCGCACATTGACGTTTCTCTCTCTTTCTCCCTCCCTTCCCTCTCTAAAAATAAATAAAAATCTTAAAAAAAAAGGAATATTCTTTAAAAAATTAAAAAAAAATAAGTGTGAAGAGGGGAACTTCTACTTCTGGGTAAGATGGAGTAACACAGATGTACGACCCTACATAAAAAACAAAAAACAAAATACATACAGCAAGGGTCCTAAGCCGTAGGACATCAAGCTGGACGGAGAGCCAGGGAGACAAAGGACCCCACCGCTGCCCCAGTGCACGGCCTCGAGGGGTTTCTGGGATGAGACACGGGAAGGGGGAACTGAGGAACAGCCCAGTGGTTTCCCTGAGTTGAGAAGACAGAGCGGAGAGTCTCAGGAACCCCGGGCAGCCAGAGTTCACAGGACCGAGAGAAGAAAAGGCAGAAACAGAGCTTGCTCCCACCAGCCCGACGGGAAAACTCAGTTCACGGGGCACTGCAGACAGCACTCGCGCAGGGCTGGCCTTGGTCACGGGCAGTAACTGGCTGTAGACAGAGAGCAGCGCTCCCAACCCACTGAACGAATCATAACACCAACACAGTGTTTTCCCTCTTTTCCACTTTGGCCATTTTGATGGATGCATATTCATCTCCCACTTGGGGAAACATGTTGGCGTTATCTGCTAACGCTGGAGATAAATACACGCAGGAATTCCACCTTTAGCTACATACACAGCAGACACACTTATAATGTACACTAAACCTCGGATACAAGAATGTTCACAGCAGAATTATTTATGAAAACCAAACACTGGAAATAATGCAAATGTCTATAGACAGGATGAATGGATGAATGAACTGTGGTCTATTCATTCCACAGAACACTATACAGCAATAAAAATGAGCAATGAAAATGAACAAGCCACAGTCTAATGCAACAATATTGATAGATCTCACCAAAGAAGCAAACACAAAAGATACATCCTCCATGATTGACTGAATGCATATAAAACTCAAAACATGGGCAAAATCGAACTACAGTGTTTAGAGATTCAAACTTGGCGGGGGATGGGGGGGCAACTACAAAGGAAAGAAACACAGGAACTTCCTAAATGTCAAGACAGCTGCCTTCGGATGGGGAGGGGCTTGGGGGCGGGGGTGCTGGCCACAGTCGGTTGTTCTGTTTCTCGTCCAAGGATGTAGTCACACAGGTGTCAAGCTTGTGAAAAGCACGGAGCTACAAACTCATTTTGTGCATTTTTCTATATGTATATTTCATATGTAGTATGCAAGTATAAAAAGTTATGTAACCCGAACTATTAGCTTTTACACAACTTCCCATGAACTGTAAGATAATTACACGAGCATACTGCGGAGACTGATGGACGAGCGAGGGGCTGGACCGTGTGGAGCTGGAACGAAGGGCGGGGCTGGCGGAGAGCATGTGAGAGCTCGTCGTCCACAGCGAGAGGCCGGCAGACAGCGCCCGCGCCTGTGAGGCTGCACGCATGCACGGGTGTGAGAGCACACACCGCCTGCTCGGCTGAGACAGAGGGAAGCACCTGTCCCAGGGACGGACGGGGACAGGGGCACCGCAGGCATAAAGCCGGTGGCCAACTGTTTACTTAGCAAATCTTGTGGAACTACTCACTGACTCTTCACCACCCAAAGAGGTGGAAAACCGTGTGATTTTACATCCAAAATAAAAACCCTATGGAAAAAAGAACACCCATTCTACCACATTCTGTGCCAGACACACCTTCCGGCTGGGAGGAAAGCTCTCTGCGTGGACGTGACCCGCCCCCACCCCAGCTCGCTGGTGGGCTCCTGGGTCAGCCTCAAAATGAGCACAACAGACACTAAAGAAAGAGAAACTCAACCTGTCTTCTTCTCTCCCCCACAGAAAAACAGAGCTATAGACAAAAGTTAGGTACAACGGTTTAAGTAGAAAGGATTTCCACTTGTGGATTACAACGCACAGACTACCAGCAAACGGCAGAAGAATAGCTGGAGTTTGGAAACAGGGATTTAGAGGTTCCTACATGTAGTTAGACGATGGGCGTGACTTTTAAACTCAACACACACACGGTTCAGGCACCAGTGTGTCAAGTAAGGTGCCCCTAATGCATAAAAATTAGGCCAAAGACAGTACAATAAGATTATATGAAACAGGCTCATTTATCAATTTCTAAATAAATCTGATTTGTTTTTAACTGACATCTTAATTATCTGTATTTACATCTGGACTATAACAACTTTTCTCTCTTGTAACAATCTGAGACAAACAAAACGTTATGATTATACATTAGCTATGCCTCCTCGGTTTCTAGGGCTGAGATGTCATGTCAATTACACAGTAAGATTTAATTTTACCTTGTTTAATCTGTCCTTGCACAATATTTCTGGATGTTGGAGGGGAACCCCGTGCCCTAGAGAGGTCTGGGGTGCTTGGTCTAGGTGGCCTTTGAAAAGAAGAAAATACTATATTCATATTTTCATATTTCCAGAAGCATTTAAACTATTACACTAACTACAAATGAATTACAAAAGAAACACATACAGAATATTTTCAATTTACTGTCCCCCAAAAGGTAGTGATTTTTTGTTTGTTTTTTTACCTATATTTTCCATTTTGAATATTAATACAGTAAATTAATTAGCAAACAGGGAGTAAGAATTTAACAACTACAATTTATGCTTTATACTAGTTTAAGAACACTAGTATAAAGCATAAACACTAGTTTATGAACACTAACATACTCCCAGTGACAGATAAATATGATTACTACTTCACTGTTCAATATTAGCATGCTGAGAGTACAGCCCATCACATATCATTGGCCAAAATGAATTCATGGAACAATACACTGAGTTTGAAAGAATTCAGCCCTGAGATCTGGAAAAGGTGATAAAGCATGAAGAAATCTTGGGCATTAGAGAAAACTGCCTCATTTTGAATTCTGGCTCTATCACTTAGTACTTGTGGGACCTTGGACAGGTTACTTAACCTCTCTGGGTCTCAGTTTTTTTATCTGTAACAAAATACAATAAAAGTACCTACCTTAAAGGGTTAAGAGCATTATTGAGATTCTATCGGTAAAGTGCTTACAGCAGAGCCAGACACAAGATAAGTGGTACTTTAGCATTTGTTAGATTAAAAAATAATCTTAATATGGTCAACTTGCACTAAAGTGTAATAAAACCACAGTTTAAAAAGTAGCCTTCATGACTTCTGAAAAAACAGGAAATAGTTATTCAGGTTAAGTATTCTAGAAATATTAAAACAGTACTCTCCTGCACTTAGAAAATTATTTTCTTTTTTGCTATTGAAAAGTTCTAATTATACTTTTCACAAAAATTATGAACACAATCACTAAACACATATTATTCATACATATGGGTCACAATGAGGAGAAGCATTTAACTAAACATATATACATTTAAAATTAAATTGGTGCAGACTTTAAGTGGATATAATTCTAAGGTTATATGTGCTGAAATGCTAGTCTATAATTCATTTATTAAAGCTGAACTATAACCTACTTCCTCATTCCAAATTTACAAAAAACCACTAGTAGTCAGTATGTCTAAGTATAGAAAAAAAACTATGTAATTTTATGATGCTTTAAACCACCCACACTGTGTTTTAAGACTTAGAGGGGAAACACTGAGATGACACAAAAATGCTAATGTGGGTAGACCCCAAGAAAAAGCCATAGACAGTGACAAAATAAACGAGGTTTCTTTCTTTGTCACAGGAGAGTAAGATCAAGCCACGGGGGCCACACCTGGTAGGGCCCTTCTTCATGTGGTCGCCAATGAAAGTCGCATTGGTCATGCTCATCAGGGTGTTTGCCAGAGATATGACGGACAGGAGGTGCTGCGTGGTGACGGCCCGGGACACTCCGTACGTGCCCCGCCCCACTCCCTCCGTCGCCGTCGCCGCGAGCTTCCTGTCCACTTCCACCTTCCCGTGCGACAGCTTGCCCGCAGCCCGGTTATACCCGGGAAGCATCAGTGACATGTGACCTCCTCTGGACAGCAGGCCGAAGGACACGGGGCAGTGGGGCTTCAGCATGCCCAGGCGGTCCAGGCACACTTCGTCCAGAGCCTCGTTCAGGCCCCAGGCGTGCAGGCAGGACATAAACAGTTTGGCCGTGTCCATGGTCAAGTTGTACTCGAGCAGGGTCAGGGGCTTGGACTTGCTGGCCCGATACTCGGGGTCACTCTCCTCCCTCCTCTGCCTCATGGCCTCCTCGTCCTCCTCCTCGTCGTCCAGGAGGTGCTCCTTTATGTTCTCCTTGATGGTCTCCTTCACCTGCTGGAAGAGGACGGCGGCCCGCTTCCCGGTGAGGAAGGAGCCCCCTTTGTCTGCCCTGCCAGATGCTTTCTGCAGGTTCTCCGGGGAAATGAGCGCCGTGTTCGGCCTGGAGGCTTCCTCAGTCAGGAGCTGGATAATCAGCGCCTCCACATCGAAGAACAGCACGTGCACGTCGGGGTCCGCTAGGTTGGTCTTCAGTGCCTGGACCATCAGGGAGTTGTGGGAGTATTTAGGTAAATTTCCCTGCAATACATATTTTTAAAAGATGGTTATCATTTTAACTGTACAAGTGTGTTTAATTTCATGCATTCATTAGTGAACAAAACACAGTCAAAGGAATAAAAACCCTTGTTAAGGTGTCCTTTTAAGTACCTGTATCATTAAAAGTAACTCACTAACTTTGACAGTCATCAGTACGTAAAACAAAGGAACTTACACAACCAGAATTTTATGCTGAAATAATGATAAAATCAATTCATTTTTAAGGAAGGAGGTAACAGTTTATTATTGAAGCCAGGAGTGTTTTTACTCATAAAACAGATTAAAATTTATTTCAATCACATATGTAAACTCAGTCTCTGAAAATGAACTATTGTTCCACCTGAAAATAATGCATTTATCACGGCCTCTCATGCTTTTAAGTTGCCGTACCATCAAATCCCTCCTTTGCCTTTTTTTAAAAGTTTTTACTTTTAGAGAGAGGAGAAGGGAGGGAGAAAGAAAGGGAGAGAAGCATTGATATGCGAGAGAAACTTCAATCAGCTGCCTCTTGCATGCCCCCAACCAGGGACTCAGCCAGCAGCCACGGCAGGGTTCCTGACCAGGTATCGAACCAGCGACCTTTCCCTTTGTGGGATGATGCCCAACCCACTGAGGCACGCCAGCCAGGGCAAACCCCTCCTTCTTCTACTTCACCTTCTATCTCTTCCCGTTCGTAGACTCCTCTCCCTCCACAGGGACAGGCTGCAGTGCACTGAGACTCTACACAGCAGTCTTATCCTCTGACCATGCCCCCTCTCCTGTACATTCCCCCCTTGTCTGCTGCCCCTGTTAGCAAACTTATGGAAAGCGGTAGATTAATCCAATAAAAGCGTTTCAGTCCACCTCCTCCTTGAACTCTTCGCAGTACTGACATTGTTTTTGGTGAAAGAAAGACAGAGAAAATAAATGCAAATGAAAAGCATAAAAAGCCACCTCTTACGGCTTCCCAGAGAAACCTTCCTGGTGAGCCTTCGCATTCCGACCACCTTTCCCAGCCAACGGCCCTGGAAACGCCTCCTTCCTCTCCCATTAGAACCCGCACCCCTGCGTAGGTGGCTCCCTAGGTCCCGTCACCAGCCAGACCGGTCTCCTGAAGAGGGTTCCGACCGGTGTTTCCAACCGCTTGTACCTGGGTGTCCGCCGTGCCCCACCTTTCTCAGGTCCTGACCTCCACCTCCCCGCCGACGCCGCTGCACCTCCCACGGCATCGCTCCTCTCCCGTTCTGTCCCCTCCGCCACCGACCCCCACCACGTTCAGGCCCTGCCTTCTCCCCCTAAACAGGCTTCGCTGCCCCCAGCCTCCTCACTCCGACCCGACACCCACAAATCTGCAGACTTCCTTGGACACACACACCTAATCATGTCACCCTCTGTCAAAGAACCACCTTTATCGTGGATTATTAAGAGAAACAGGGAGTACAAAATTATTAAAAACTAAATCAAGCACTGGCTGGTGTGGATCAGTGGACTGAGCACCAGAAAGGTTGCAGGTTCTATTCCCAGTCAGGGTACATGCCTGGGTTGCAGGCCATGACCCCCAGCAACCGCACATTGATGTTTCTCTCTCCCTCTCTCTCTATCTCCCTCCCTTCCCTCTCTAAAAATAAATAAATAAAATCTTTAAAAAAAAAAAAAGAGGTTTCCATTGCATTTTATAACTCAAGGGTAAAATCTTTGCAAAGCAAAGACTTCTTTATAAAGCACAAAACATCCCACAAAAATGCATCGCTGCCCACCCCTCCAAACTCATCTCCCCCCACAACCCCTACATCTCCACTGCAACCAGGTTCAAGCACTCTCCAGAACTTGCGCCCTTGCATCGCTTGTGCCAGCGGGGCGCCCCTTCCTCCACCCCCACTGCCACCGAAGTCACACTCCCACCCTCCCTGCGGGGAGCGGCTCAAAGGGCTGCTCTTAAACCATGATTTCCAGAACTGTCACCGATTCTGCCTCCTCTGTGTGAATCTCTGCTCTGAATGGAATGAACGAGGTTTAAAGGAAGGTAGAAAATAAACACTATTTCTATAGAACTGCTAAGGAAGCTTAGGTGCATAAGTAATAGATACACTTACACTACATAAAACACAACGGAACAGAGTCCAGGCTCCAGAGACTCTGTGTATTTAATTCACTCATGCCGCATTCACCTACGTTTGTGAGAGACACCGGAGATGCAAAAATAACTAAGATGGTTTTTCTGGTCATGGGACTCAAAACCGACAGTTAAAGAGTGGCGTGTGAAGAAGTTATTACAATGTGGTATACACGGTGCCCTAAATAAAGGAGACTGCAAGATAACATAAGGGCCACAAGAAGCGGAAATGCCAGCTCCGCTCACTCGGGGTGAGGGGGATCCCCGCAGAAGGGGAGCTGGAGCCACGAAAGGGCACTCCCCGCGGAAAAACGGCGGGGCGTGGGGAAAGTGAGGCGGGGAACACCCCAGGAGGGATGCTGGTGGCCCCACAGTGACCGTGGTGAGGAGGCCACACACAGACGGTTCCCCGAGGGCACGAAGGTCCACACTGCGCATCAGAACGCCATCCTGCAACTCAGAAGCCACGAACGGAACTCCTCTCAGAAACCACAGTTGGCGTTTCTTAAAACACACCCCCGGGCCTGCCCTTGGGCCTGAACCCATGCCCCTGGCAACAGGGCGGAATCTGCCCCGTGATCACCCCAGGTGACCTTTCGCAGAGAAGTCAGTCTGAGACCTGCTGTCTGGAGGCTTTACTGGGGGGACTAATGTGATCAAGTGCAATTTTATAAACGTTTATCCACCAGCCATGTTGGCCGAAGAGATGCGACGTCAGAGTCATGAATAAAAGCTGGGGAGAAACAGACGCCGACCCGTCCAGATAAGGGAAGATACAAGTACTCAACGGCACCGAAAACGTACAGGCCAGACGAGATGGACGAGTAACGGTGCACAGCGCCTTCTCACTCCTCTCGGCACTGTGCTTTCCCTGCCTTTTCAAACACCGCGTGTGCAACGTCAGACCCCACGCTGAATGCTCTGTGGCTACCGACACCAGTGTGATCGAATGATACGTAAAATTATACACTTACAGTAACACTGTTATATCTAATATAATATTGGTATGAAAACCGTAATTAGCAATGCCACCACATACTACTAAACAGGAGGGAATGAGTAATAATATTACATTAAAAGAAAAGAGCCCCGAGCACTTCGGTAGACGTTGTCAGGTAGATCTCCCAATAAAGATCTACAAAGGTTTTTTTTAGGAGAAAGAGAGACCATTTCCACGAAAGAAAACAAAGTCGCACACGTTTGGCAAAGGAACTGTTAAGCCGCCGGAGTGGCTGAAGAACGAGAGAAGGCGGGGTGAGGACATGGGGTCGCCTTTGCAGCGCTGCTGGGGTGTCAGCCCCGTCTGCACCCCAGGTCGCCCCGCTCTCCGGCTCTGCCGCAGGAGTGCCAGCAGCCAGCCCGCGTGCTCGGGCGATGGAAGTGTTGTCTAGTGACCCCTCTTACCACAACTGCTCACACGGGGCTATGGACTGTGTCCCTGAGGCAGAAACGGAGCTGAGAGCAATCCACGCTCAGAAAAAGAGAGGGCAGGACCAAAAGGAGGAGAACGCGGCAGTAAGGGCAGTGGAGAGGAGAACGGAGGGAGGCTGAAAGAGCCAGGGCGGGTGGCTCATCCCCAAATCCTGTACGCGAACGACAGCTTCTGACACCACCGAGTCCTGCGTGTGACTTGTGACGCCGGGCATAGATAGGACTTACCCAGTCAAGTCTCACACGACAACATGCAGATGCCCAGCAGGTGGTGGGGGTAAGACTTCAGCTGAACTCACGGAGAGCGCGAGCTGGTCTCCAACACATTTGACATCCCATCTCACACTAAGATGGGCTAAAGGAAAATGAATAAAAACATCTCTCAAACGCCAAGGAGCTCTTGGCTTCATCGTAAGACACCATGTGGACAGCAAACTGACTCACTCAAACCACCGTCTATTCCCAACAAGTTCAGGCCCGGGCTGCCTGACCCTGGAAACCCTTTAACAGGAATGCCAGTCTGCTGCCCTCCCACCTTTATCAGGGACACCTGAAATGTGTGCTCACAAACCACTCTTTCACGATCACGGAGGAAGATTCAGTTCAATCCCACAAACACCGCGGAGAGACTACCGTGTGCAAGGTGCTCGGAGAAAAGTGAAGCCTCTGCACTTCGGGCAACAACTTTAAGACTTACTGAAAAAAGGTCAACAAGAAAAACTAAACCATAAGGTATATACAAATGAAATGGTCTCAAGTTTATTAGCAAGATGCAATGGTAAATGCGAAACACCCATGGGGTCGGCAGTCAGACAGGTGTGAGGGTAAGGACGGAGGGCCAGGTGCAGGAGGTCGCCAGGGTGGAAAGCCCCGGGTGCCCAGCAATGGGCACAACTAGGAAAACCTGTACTTTGCCCCTGGGCACCCGTCCCTCCCCTAGCACATCGCTGGTCATGAGGTTCGAGCCCTCCCCTGACCTGTCCTCCCTGGACGTTGCTAGTCAGGCAGGTAAGACCCTCCTACAGGGGGAATGAACGAGGGGTCCAGAGAAGAGCCCGTATGCATCGAGCCCCCAGGACCACGAGGGTCTAACCTGCAGCAAATGCATGCAGGCCTCAGTTGTGCTCCACCTGCAGGCCCGGAAAGGCGGCCAAACGGGACAAGTGACGCCAAGGCTGCCGTCAGGACCACGTCCCTGAGAGGGCTCACCTGGAAAGCCGGTGAAAATTCCACTGGGGTCTGCCCCAGACCGCCAGATAAACACCCTCAGGGCGAAGAACCAGCCCAAAGCCTTGCCCCATCCCTTTGACTGCCTCTGCGACTTGGGTCCTGAGCCCGGCTCTTCTCCCCCTGTGGCTCTCGAAATCGACTTTCCCTTCCAGGTTGAGTCTTGGCCCTGAATCCTTTCTCAGCCAGGACTCAAGCCCCAAGGTTGCCAGAGAGAGGTCCAGTCTGACCC